CCTTCAAAAAAAAAAACAAACCCATCACCACCAAAAAAAAAAAACCAAAAACAAAAAAACAAAAACAAACCTGCCCTAATTTAAATAAAGAATGCAGAAGGTAATGCATCAACTATGTACCTAGTAGGCAAGCAACACTCACTTTTTTATTCACACAAAACTCATCTGTTGTTCTCAGTGAGAAGAAGCTCTTTGGAAGCTCACTGCTCCCCTGCTCTCTCCTCTTTTTATAAGAAGATTAAAAAAAAATCATGATCAGTGCTTCTATTTGCATCTCGGAGTACTGCTGCTGACATTAGTTACAAGAGTTTTGAAGAAGTTTTGTGGAAGATCCAGAAAAACGTTGCAATAGTCAAGTCTTTACTGCAAACTATTACGTATATAGACTTGATTCAAATCCCATTTAAAGTAAATGAAAAAAACCCCACTGCTCAGATGGTCAGAGGCTTCTGGATCAGACCTTTTGTTTCTAGAGGTATGGCACAGCACATTTCAAATGCGTGCAGGAAAGAAGAGCATGCAATCACTGAACAACTGCTAACACTAATTTTCTTTTAAAACAAGGCTATTTTTACAAAGGGCAACTCTCAAAACGATGAGAGCTTACATTTGATGGTATATATTTTTTTAAAGGGCTGTAAAGTGGCTGATTCTGGGCATTTTATTCTGCATATATGCCTACAAAACATGCACGATAAACAGAATTACATCTGATTTTGAAGACCCCAGTGCAGTATTGTCGTGCTTCATGAAAACACGACAATACTAGGATCACTAGGAGATTTAAAAACATTCCATGTAAGTGCAGGGATAGCTGTGGAAAAATTTTTGCAGCATTCTTCTGAAAAAAATCACAAAGTGGTTTGCTTGCTAGTGTTAAGTCAAAGGCAAGATTCAGCAGTGACTTCCACGAAATATACAGACATAACACATTAATGAATATCTGGATAGAGAGGGATGGATCTAGAAACCCACCATACTTAACCACATTCTCTCTGTTGCGGCCTGGGCACAGAGTTAAATGCACAACAAGTGCAGATTTACACAGTCAGTACAGTTTACAGCAGTATAAACTAAGGACTTGCAGAAGTGCACATGCGCTTGAAAAAATCTGCCCCGCCATTTTATATCTACTGGGATCACTCTCCTCGTGAACGCCTATTGTGCTGGCTACAGCCATTTCAACTTTTTGTCTTCTGGTTGCAATCATAAGTCTAGCTAGCTGCATGCATGCTGAATACATGAATATGTATCCTTGCAAAAACCAAATGCATTGTGCGACAACACGTGCTATGTGAACACACACATGGCTGTGAAGAAACATGCTTTACAGTATGTCTTAAGAAACAAAGACATGCAATCATCATATTCCTACATTTACTGTATTTTCAATCCGGTAGAGGCCATATAAATCAAAATTAAATCTGCATCACAGAATTGCTTTGTTATAGATGCAAGTCCCCCCACCACCACCACCACCATCACCACCGCGGGGGGAGAAGGAGGGAGTGCTGATTACCTGCACCTGTTTCAAGCTGAGAGCAACTGATGCAGTTAGCAGGCAAAATGCCTAATTAGTGCGCATTTCCATGTTCTGGAAGGAAGGCATCGCGACGACAGGCCTGCCTGCACTGCAGCACCATGTGAGGAGGCCACAAGCCAGAGGCAGGTGAAGGCCCCGGTCTGCCAGGAGCACACCTCGTGTGGAGCTGGGCCTGGTCACAGGGAGCCCACCTGCCTGCAAGCGGCTGCCAGAATGCTTCGGGGATGTGAATTATACACGCAACCCCCCAAAACACTCCAAGAGAAACCTGGATGCAACAAGGCCTTCCTCCCATTCCTCCTTTGTATTTCTCCTTCATAGTTACAAAGCGACTGTGAACACTTGGCAGATGTGGGGAAAAGGCAGTACTGTACCAATGCACCCATACAAAACAGAAGCCAGCCTGCCTAGCTTCGATGAAAGCAACAACTCAGGGCTGCACCTACATCTGAAAGCGTGAACTCCTGTTCCATTCTCTTCCCCTTTCTCCACTCCACCTCCTTCTTTTCCGCTCCCATTCGCCCACAATAAAACCTCCCTTAGCCTGATCCAAACCCTGCAGTCCTCACCCGGGCAAAACTCCAATTTATTTCAAGAAGTTTAGCCTGGATAAGAATGCCACACATCCAATTTAGCATCTCCACACATCACAATCCATCTACGTGTAAAACACCGTGGGCTGTGCTCACTCCATGCACGCTGCCCTCTCCTCTCCACGTAGCAGAGCTCTGTGCAGCCCTGCATTGCGTTCACGGGCCTAGCAGACATCTCTCCTGCACTCCCTGCCCTAGCACCACCTGGTGAAAGCCAAGGTTTCACTCAGGAGAGCCGGGAGCCTAAGAACATGACCTTCATTTACCAGAAACCCCTTACATCCCTTTCTGGAAGAAAAAAATTCACTCAGAGTAAGGAGTGGGGGAGAAAGACAGTCTGGAGCAAAACCAGTTTCCTCTTCTAACAGATCATCTTAGATTATTTTCACTATGTTCCACTAAATTATTATCTGAAAATATGCTAAAAATTCATCTAGTCAATTATGAAAAAAAAATATTTTCACGAGGAAAAGTATTGCCTATGCTTTCAATTTTTCATTCCGTACACCAAGTATTTTTGAGGAAACTATTTGGCAGTTCGACACAAAATGCTTTCAAATGTAAATGCTTTAGCTCACGTGCATAATTCCTGAAGGCATTCATTTGAGGAGCGGAACATTTCTATCAGCAATTATATTTCATGTTCTAGACTAAAATAATTTTGAATTTAAAACCCAATCTAATCAACAGATTTTAATCCTTCTTCTCCAACTAGCACGCACGTGATCTTTATGCACTGCTACGTCCACATTCAGCGCAGTTGAAGAAACCCTCACCGTGAAACAAACCAGCAGTAAGTCAGTTCTGCCTCTTTACTTCCACAGCGATCATTTCTAGCAAGCCACCACAGAATAATGAACTCACAAACCAGAAGCAATTTTATATTCCTTTAAGTGCTACTATTCAGCAACAAGACAGCCCCAGCAAGTGGTACAACCTAAGAGAAAAATCCTCTTTAGATAAACAGCATCACTGGGGGCAATATAATAGAGTGCTCTGAAATTCCACAGAGAAGATTGTTTAGGAGTTTGCAATTTTAAAACAACTACTACAAGATCAAAATATTAGTTAATATTTTATCTGCACTGCCCTGGGCAGCTACTACAAGCCTCTGAAAAGTACTTGAAAGAAATTAATTGTGGCTGAGCTATCACTGAGCCATACGTTCCTAAATTCCTTTCTTAATCTGCACAGTTCACCAAAACATTCCCTGCTTACTTTGAGTTTGATCGGCCAATAAATACTACTTTACTGCTTAAAGTTACGAGTTATTTTTTCAGTTTACTTTACCATAAAACAGCTCAAATGCTGTGTCAATAAGGAGATGGTTTTGATACAATACTGACAATGGCCTGAATTTAAAACTAGTGCTGTGGAATCCACTGGGTATTTTCCAGTTATTTTGCAAAGGAAAAAAAAAAAAAAAAGAGAGAAAAGAATTGGGATTTCCTTTCTTGTATCCATGAATTTAAGTAAATAAATCAAATTAAATGAAAATATTCAAATATTTTACATGAGCATCCAGGTTTCTTCAGCGTAGAAGAAAGCATTTTGTTCTAGAAATACATATGGAAAGACTAGGTATCACGAAGAGGCTCCTTAAAATATATTAATTTCCAGATACTTTAGCTTGCATGTGCACTTGGCTATATAAAGCACAGAAAGTGTTATAGGTTAGGCAATTTCAGAGTAATTATAAATCTGTAACCCTCTGCCAAATAATGCCTACCACAGAACATCTATAACTGCATGCTACTTAGATTTAGCTATAAATGGCATTAGTCTAATATTTAAGTAATATACTTAAGTAAATTTCTTCATCAGCACCCAAAGAGCAAGTGAAAGAGCGGGACCGAGCGCGAGCACGTACCTGCACATGTATGTAGGAGATAAAATAGAAAATACACTTATGGCACTTACGGACCTTTGCAGGCTATCAAAAAAATCATTGTAAGAAGAGATGATACAAATGGCAATTATAAAGCAATCCTGAACAATCCCAGCTACTAGAAAAATTAAATATGAACCCTGGAAATACTTATGTCCAAATCCACGTCGCTAAAAGAATCGGGACGCATAACTAATGCGATACAATTACTGAAAATTATCTCACAGTTACCTCAAAAATATGAGTTCAGGACGGGTATGGTGGTGCCCAGGCGTACAAATGGCACAAAACCCCATGGACTCGCTCCCAGGCGCATCGTGACTGCTCTGCACGCCGATGTCTAATAACGCCTGGGACACGCCGAAATATTAAATAGATATAAAAACTCTCACCGCCCAACTTTGTCAGTTTCTTTTCTTGAGCTTCTTTCTGTTTAAGAAATAAGGGAGGGGATTGCCATTGAAGCCAACAGCTATTCTGCAATCAATGAAGGCGAGACTGGCACAAGTCCTGGAAGATTTGCATTCAGAAATAAAAGCTGTGATCGACCTTTGTCTGCTAAGAAAACGAAGCCCGCTGCTTCTCGCCAGCCTGGCGAAGGGAGGGGCCGCCTCGCTGGGCAGGGAGAGTCCAACCTAAAACCCGCCGGCGGTGGCAAGTATCGCCGCACCGCGTCCCTCGCGGCCAGCCCTGCGGGAGGGGGAGAGAGAGAGAGAGGGAGGGAAGCGGGCTTCGACCTCGCCACGCTGCCGGCGGCCCCGCCGAGGCGCGATGCCCGCGCACTTTCTTTCCCCAAGTTGCGGTCCCCGCTCGGCGGGGCTCGGCTTACCCCTGAGCGGGCTGCAGACCGACCTCGGGCGGCGGCGTCTCCGCCTCGCGGCTCGGCGGCCGCGGGAAGGGCGGGCGGGCAGGCGGGCGGCGAGCCGGCGGCCCCGCAAGTGCACGCAGGCCTGCGAGGAGGGAAGGCGGTCCTTACCTAGCGGGCGGCTGGCGGCTCCTCCGCACGCTCCCCCTGCCACAGCTGCTGCCAGCTCCCAGCGACAACAATGGGAGGCTGCGAGGGGTGGCATGGAGGGGAAGGGAAGGGAGAGGGGAGGGAGAGAGAAGGGGAGGAGAAAGAGAGAAGCATGTTAAGCTTGTCTGGTAGTTAACAAGTCTTGAATGAAGAATGTTAGCAAACAGACAAACAGCATGTCTGATGCATGCTAATAGTCCCGGCTTCACCGCTGACACTATGAATAATTCAGTAAGAGGAGGGTGGGAAAAAAAAAAAAAAAAAAAGGCGCCCCCTCCACCCTCCCTTCACGCTTTCCAACGTCTGAAGAGAAGACGGGGGAATAAAAAGTATGCCACAACTTTCTCCTTCCGCCCTGCAGCTCGGGAATACCCGGCGAAGAGGCCGGCGAAGCAGCGCGCTCCCGCCAGGGCTCCTCCCGAGGCTCTCGGCTCCTATTTTTTGCCGGCTATTAATTTCCCCCACTCCCTCTTTACAGCCTATTCCACTCCTTTTGTCTGGGAGCTGGCACCTGTCCCAGAGGCAGCGTTTTGCTGCACATCCCTCTCCCCTCCGCCGCGGGGAGCAGACGGGCCCCCCGCTCTCCGCACACCCCCGTGTCGGCCATCGCGGGGGGCTCGGGAGGGGGCGGGTATCGGGGGGGGGGGAAGGGGGAGCGGAGCCCCGCTCCGTGCGGCACGGACACCTACGGCCGCCGAAACAGAGCTGTGGCACAGAGGCTGGCAGAGCGACCGGCCGTTCCGTGAGCTGCGCGGTGTGCCGGTGCTGGGTGGGCGGGGGGGATGTGACAAATAAAAGCCCTCGTTCTCACAGCATACAAACTAGCGAAGCCCGATTCATCGCTCGGCCAAAGAAATCAATTCCCCTTAACCGAGGAAAAAAAGAGAGAGAGGAGAGGGAGAGAGAGAGAGAAAAGGATCAGCGGAGGGGAAAATACTCGGAGTTTTAACCTCAATGCAACGAGATACAGTACGGCAAGCGCAGGAGAGACGGAAAATTAATCCGTTCTTCAGCAGTGAAAGGAGGGTTAAATAAAGAGAGAGAGAGACACGAAGAGGGGAAAAAGCAGCGGCGCCTATGCACGGCATTTTAAAAAGTTGTGCTCTGGCAAAGGCCGTCTGAAGGGGAGGCCCTTGCAGCAGGAATGCGAGCGGCGGCAGCAGCCTCGTTCCAGAGTCCGGCCTCCCCCTCGCAGCGACTGCAGCCGAGAGGCGGAGGAGGCCGCGCTGGCGCGGCGCAGGGCCGGGGCTGGCGATAGGAGGGCGGCACGGCACGGCACTGCCGAACGGCCGCGCGCGGCGCACCGCAGCGAGGGCCCGGGACCGCGCGGGCCGCGGAGGACGGAGCAGCCGTGAGGAGACGGCGGGGCCGGCTAATGGAGCTTTTAATTGGGGGCGGGAGGGGGGGAGTGGGAGGGAAAGGAAAGGAAAGGAAGGTCCTACGGAAATATCTTCCGGGATTAGAACAAGGAGCGCCGGACTCCCGTCTTGATGCGGCCCTGTAGGAAAGCGCTGCGGAGACCGCGAAAAAGCTGCTCGGAAGACTGACGGCGCTGAAAACGGGGATTGGGAAAAAAAAAAAAAAAAAAAGTAAATGGTGTGTGTGTGACAAAAAAAGCTGGGTGATTCTGTTTTCTCATGCCCTCGCTCCTCCACCAGCTGCACAGTCAAGCGCAGGCTGCTTGGCCCTTATAACTATCTTGGCACGGAGTCAAAAGCTGATAAGCATTTGGGCGAGACAGCTCAACTGCTGTGCTGGAAGAAAAACAGCTGCCATGATTTCTGTTTGATTGAGAGCGCTTACACACACGCACAAAAAACACATCGGGCTGCAGAGACGGGCCACGAATGCCTGAGGATTCAGCTTCAGAAGAGCAACGCGCGTTTCCTTAAAAAAAAAAAAAAAAAAAAAGTTTTATACAGTTTTGCCTCCGTTCCTCCTCCCCTTTTTAAAGAAAATGTACTGCGTAGACTCGCTCCTCTCCTTCCCATCCCCCTCCATAACCTCAAGCAAACTCGAGGAATTGTGCCAAAAGTCCCGTTGCTAGTTACCGAGTGCGTTTTTTTTTAAACGTCCCTTTGATACTTCTTCCCCTTGTGCTTGCCGTGGAATATGCAAGTATGATAATCTTTCCATTACTTAGGAGAAGTAATTAAAAATGAAAAGAGCTTCTAGCAAACCTTCCTTTTTCTACTTTTTTTTTTTTCTCTGAAGGGGCAGAAGAAGGGAGGCGAGAGAGAGAAGAATATTTTTTCTCTTTGCAGAGTCCAACATTTGGCTTTTTCCATTTGTGGCAGATCACTGTAACGCTATTGTAAAACAACTTCCTGCCCCTTTTGGCTCCAGTTCCAGAAGCTGCTAGGCTAAGTTCATAGCGCAAACTTTTTTCCCCCTTGCCGAAGAAGAAAGGCAAAAAAAAAAATTCCTGCAAATTATTTTCCTCCTTCTCCGGCTAATGGACTCACAAGGTGAATTCATTGCAGCTCTGTAAGAATGTCACAAGAGACAGCGCTATCCCAGCTGGATAATTCATGAGCTGAAAGGTGGGGGCATTATAACTATACGTCTGTCTGTGTCTCTGTGCGTCTGTGCATTTTAATTCTGTAACTTTGAGTGGCGAGTCTTAATACAGGTGGATAACGAGCTAAGCTGCTTCATCTGCTGTACTAATTTGTGTATCTATCATAGCGCAGATCACTGATTTAGCACATACACCCTCCTGCTTTCCCATTGCTCTCGGATTCCGAGGTGACCTGCTAAACCCTCCCTCCCTTTCTCTAGATGCTGGGTCTGATGAAAATGCCCACCGAGGACTGCTAAACCCTCCCTGCTAGGAATGAGATGGAGCAGTCTGTGATGCGAGCCAAAAGGGAGAAAAGAAGGCCTCCACAACTTGCTCTCTCACGATCTCCCTCTCCCTCTGTTTCTCTCATAGCAACAGCATTTCTTGGTACGCCTGCTTTGGCATACATCAGCATTTCTACCCGTCCAAGTGTCCTTTTGCGTCACATCTCGCCATTTCACTCAACCAATGAGATCTCCTGGTTGCAGTAAAAATATATATACTTTTTCTTTTATTGGTATATTCGAATTTTTTTAAGTGCTTTCCTAATAAGAAACGTTGTCGAGCATTCCGTTTGCCCTTTGTAAAAAAAAAAAAAAAAAAAAAGGACTGCAGGATTCAACCTTGTGAAGTCTTCTTTGTGGAAAATACGTTACCATCAGAAAAAAGGGAAAAAGGGATTACATGGCTACTCAAGGGAAGTTGCAGTAGTTGTCCCCCTGATTTAATATTTATTTTGCTTATGCTATCATTGCTCCCCCAATGTACTTTTAGAGCAGCTGGACAGTTTCAACTAACTGGAAAAGTCAATACCACGCTGTTTCTAACACTTCTAAAAATATTCCTGAGGAGAAACGATACTGATGTCTTATTCCTCTAAATATTGATAATGAGATGATAGAAAAAGTGAGATGGAAAAACAGAAGTTGTGTGATCCTATTCCTTGCAACTTGCAGATCCTCACCCCCCT